CTCTTCTTATTGGGCTTTCTATCGGCTGTTGAACAGGGTCCCAGCTGTTTTCATTCTGTTAAATCTTCTTTTCGCGCCGAAATCTTCTCTCTGGACTTTACTTCCGGTTCGGCGCATTTCTGTGCGTTCCACTGCGGCTTGATTCAGATGGCCGTGCATTCCATTCCGTTCTGCGATCAATGTTCTTATTGTTGCCCTCTGGTGGTCGCCAGAGGTAATGCCATGTATTTACATGGCGTTCCAGTCCATTGTATAACATATAAAAGAAAAAAAATAAACAAAAGAGAACATATTTGATTTACATTCTTTTTTCCAACTACATATACCTTCAACAACCTTAAAAAAAAAAAGTGTTTTAATAACTATATCCACATTGTACTGTGTTTTTCATGATATGTATGATCAGGACATTGTATACTTGTGAATATTTCTGGTTATCACAATCTCCACCTTAAAGATCTCTACAATTTTAAACACAAAAGCCTGTGGAGGTTGAATTAATTCTTATTGCCCAACCCTAATTTTAATTCCAATGGAGTCCCACCCCTGCCAGTATTTTAAACAAAACACTTTCCAAGATATCACTCCAACCACACTGTGGCTATCCCTAAAACCAGTAATTAGAGGTATACTCATTCAGAAACTGTCCCAGCTTAAACCACAAGCCACTGCTAGAGGGGCAGGCATCGCTCTACGAGCTCAAAGCTCATGACCAAATATCTCCCAACTCCTCATAGACCAGATCTCTGACCTCACCAATAAAATAAACAAATTTAATTAGGTGAGGGTGGGATATAATCTTAAATCACAACAATATGCTCAAGGTAACCAAGTTGGTAAACATCTAGCCAATCACCTGAAAGAAAAACCAGCTCAACAACAAATCCCATATTTAATCTCTGTTTTAGACAAGAGAACTGATGATCTCAAAAAATATTGGGGATGAATTTGCAACGTTATAATTTCGATAAAGATGACTTTCCTGCCCAGCAACCTAAAGAGTATTTAGATTCAGACTTGCCAACTTTGTCCCAAGAACAAGCAAATATTTTATCAGAACCGATAACAAATGCAGAAGTTGAAACGGTTATTAAATCTTTGCCAAAAGGAAAAGTCCCTGGGCCAGATGGATTTTCGGAAGCTTATTACAAAAAATACAACCACATACTAGACATTGTTTGATCAGGCTATCCACACCCAAACCCTCCATATCCTTATTGGCACATGTTGTGGCACTCCCAAAACCTGGAAACCCCCCTACGCAATGCTCAAACTTAATGAATATAAATGCAAAAATGTTGGCAAAAGTCTACGCATAAATAGGTATACCACCTATTGTAGACGTAAATATGTTGGTTACATCTGAAAAACAAATGGAACATACATAGTGCTTTCCATATAAATTAAAATAAACAAATTATAATATATGCGGATTAAACTCACAAAGGTGGAGCCTCATAGGCTCTATGTACATCACTCTTGGGTGCCTATTCAGAGAGCCTGAATAGGCACCCACGAGTGATGTACATAGAGCCTATGAGGCTCCACCTTTGTGAGTTTAATCCGCATATATTATAATTTGTTTATTTTAATTTATATGGAAAGCACTATGTATGTTCCATTTGTTTTTCAGATGTAACCAACATATTTACGTCTACAATAGGTGGTATACCTATTTATGTATATATTTTGTATATACTTTTCCTGAGTGTGTGTGAATCTATCTATTTAATCTTTCTACTTTGTCTTTAGGTGTTAAGGGATTACACCTTTTTTCACACTCACTCATATTGTTTGTATTTAAGGTTGGAAGCGCCTACACAACTATATACTTTTTGTATGTTTTGTCTTGTTAAAAGTCTACGCAACTAGACTGAGTCTGAATATACTGCATCTCATACATAATAATTAGGATGGGTTTGTGAGAGGGTGGTATGGATAACACCATTCCAGGAAACTGTTAGACATATTTCACAGCTTATGACACAAAAAAGCGAGGTTGCTAATTCAGGATTGGCACATGTATTAGACGGACTTAATGTACAAATCTTTTTGTGACTGATATCACATATGCATGTGCACTGCAGCAATCTTCATAAGCATGTATAAAAGAGTTCTGTTCAAACTCGAAAAATGCATGCATGTATTCATTGGGAGTATATCTACAAAACGGTGATTTAATTTGTAACAGCAACATAATGGAAACATAAAAAGTATTTATATTAGGTAGAGTTGTCGTTTAGTAGTTCAGTTGGTTCTGTTATTAGTGTTGGTCTTTGGAATAAGGTTTAAGCTATTATGAGATTTATAAGCTTAAGACTGTTTGTATTAGGTTCTTAATGAATGTGAAGACAGTATTTGCTATACTTGGTAACAGTAGCATTGTTTAGATCAGGGGTAGGCAACCTACGGCACTAGTGCCATGCACGGCACTCGAGGTGTCTTTGCATGGCACTCAAGGCTGCTAGAGCCAAACAGGCTCTGGCCTATCAGGAGTCCCAGTAAAACTTCAAATATCTGTTAATACAAAAAGATGGTGAAAGACAATCCTCAATTTAAGCATTGCAGCACATAGAGGAAATGATCTCAAATCACTTCCTCCAAGCACTTGTGAATGGGAATCCACAATGTAGTAGAGCAGCTTGCAGCTGCTGTTGCAGTTCCGGTCTTTGACCTGTACCAGGCCAGCCCGGTCCCCACTGGAACCCAGGGAAGCCAACCATACTTCTAGATATACAAATTTACACGATTGGTCGAAATTTGTTCTGTTTCCTCCAATCAGGACGAGAGGTGGGGATTTTAACTGGAATCAAGCAGGAAAGGAGTCACCAATTGAGAAAGTGCTAAAGTGCTTTTGAGGTTCGGTACACCTCTATTTACTATCTCAGGTATGTTAGGAAGTATTGAATTTAAAATCAGGTCATTCTTTAATATGGGCTAGTATTTCCGATAAATATGGACACTATTATGGACATCAAGTTGCCAGTATAATGCCCTTTAACAAAATGGCCGAACTGTCTGATGGACTAAGGAACACACTACAGGAAGCGATTTCGGAGTCTATCATTTAAGAAGAAGGAAGTACCGCACAATGTGGTGAATAGTCACCTCCCGGACTTTCGGAAGTGACGCCACCCGCACGATGAAATTTGCGTGCGTAATGATGTCACGAAAAAGAGGCTGTCATAAGATGATGTGAAATAGGGGTGTTTCGTATTCCCGGAAGTGACGTCACGCGCGCGATCGTACGTGCGAGCGCGATGACGTCACTATTAAGGGACAGAGCATTTGACACTGTAGTTTTTACACTTTATAACAAAAGCGTCCGTGATTGGTCGAAATTCGTTCTGTTTCCTCCAATCAGGACGAGAGGTGGGGATTTTAACTGGAATCAAGCAGGAAAGGAGTCACCAATTGAGAAAGCCGAGAGAGGTCGGCGAAACGCGTTTTGGACAAGATACCAGTGTAATGTATGAATTTTATTGTTTTTAATGTTTATGGAATAAATTAAAATTTAAACACATATACCTGGTATATCTTCTATCCTGCTGAAAGAGGGTAAGAGTCATCCCTTTAATAAGACTCACAAGCTAATACACTCAGAGCCAAGTCACAGGCTCTTCTCCAGGTGAGAAGCAACGTTCACCCTTTGTTTAAATTTGATATTATAATCATAAGGATTTCAACACCGGGGCGATTTTCCCGTTCTGTTTTTTGTTCTCTTTGAGGAATTCACTGTGACTGAAATAAGGACTACCCAGATACCCCATATTTCTAAAACCTTGGAGTGCTGTCTTTACACAGTATTTGCTATAATTTTGCCGATAAGCACCAGGCATTTGTATTTACTACTGGAGAGCAAGCATTGGAACACACATACACATACATATTCATATCCATGTATGTATGTATTTTACTTCAGTTTAAATTGTTTGATTGTTGAGTCCATGAGGGTTTTTTGTATTAACCTTAAAAGGATTTTGTAATTCTCAATACACTATAGTTCTTTTTTTTTGTCAATCTTTTTTTATTGAGGTGGGTGCAAGTTACAGGTCAAGCAGAAAGGAGTCTGAACAATATTAGACACAGAAGGACAAGCTAGATGTGTAAGTGGTTGTGGTGGCAGTCCGGGCACTAGGAGCCAAATGGACAGGGGGCTCCCAGTGCCAGGACTGCCACCATAACCACTTACACATCTGTAGGGCTCCCAGTGTCTGGACTGCCACCACAACCACTTACACATCTATGGGGCTCCCAGTGCCAGGACTGCCACCACAACCACTTACACATCTGTACGGCTCCCAGTGCCAGGAGTGCCACCACAACCACTTACACATCTGTAGGGCTCCCAGTGCCTGGACTGCCACCACAACCACTTACACATCTAAAGGCTCCCAGTGCCAGGACTGCCACCACAACCACTTACACATCTGTACGGCTCCCAGTGCCAGGAGTGCCACCACAACCACTTACACATCTGTAGGGCTCCCAGTGCCTGGACTGCCACCACAACCACTTACACATCTAAAGGCTCCCAGTGCCTGGACTGCCACCACAACCACAACCACTTACACATCTGTAGGGCTCCCAGTGCCATGATTGCCACTACAACCACTTACACATCTATAGGGCTTCCAGTGCCCTGACTGCCACCATAACCACTTACTAGACATTTGCAATTTGTTTCATGCAATTCGGACATTTGGATGCTTACGAATTGCCGAAGTTCCGTAGTTTGGAATTGGGGAAAATGTTGAATCTGCCATGCCAGTGTTATATTTTGTCATATTCTGTCCTGCATGCAGCTGTTGGCATGGCACTGCACGCTAATATGTACTCACTTGCATACTCAAAATAAAGATTGACAACAACAAAAATAAAATAAATACAGGCTTCATTCATTTTGCCAAAATGGGAGGTGCTTACATTTTGTTCTTATATGTGTTGCTTCTTTTATAAATAATTACCAGAAGTAAAAGCAGAACCGACTGTTAACAGCTCATGCATTAACAAAGGTTGTAGCTGTAGTTGATCCAGCATTTTACAGAATCCCTCTTACTAGGGTAAGTGCCCCCTTGTCATATCGTACTACTCCGTCTTGTCACAGGAAGGGGTTTATTCGCTAAAAAGTGAGTTTGCTGATTTATGATCAAAATGTATGCTATAAAACCTCTGATTCCACCGATTGAGATATTTTTTCATCTCTGCTGTTTTGACCTGAGTTGGTTCTCAAATCAATGTTTACTGAACGGTTGTATTAGTTATTTGTTATATGTTCCACACATTATGAACTGTGCAATGAAATTAGTACTTTAATATGGCAGATTGTAATGGTAACAAGGAGTACATTTTTTTATTTTTCTTAATTATTTCTTTATTTAATTTTATGCCATAAAGAATTAGAATACCTGGCTTTACATAAGCATACATCTATTACATAAGCATAGATGTTTAATGGAATAAAATCATTTTTTTTTCCCCCTTTGTTTAACTTTAAACTTTAAACTGAGAATTGCAAGTTTTAAAACGAACCAACACTATAAAAATAAAAATTTCGGCTGGAAATACATGTTACGTTTTGTTTCCAGCCTAAATGAGCATTGCGATGGCAGTGGGCAAACCTTGGCAATCAGCACAGATGTCAAGAGAAGATTTTATGCTTACTTGCAAGACCAGAGATTGCAGGGAATTAATCAGTGAATCGCCAATTTTAAGCCAAACTAGCCAAACTGGAAAAAATCTCACTAGCGTTTACACTTCAACTATTTTGCCCTAAACTTTGTAGCATTATTTACTCTAGTGAGAATTGTTAGAAATTCAAAGTGGATTTCAAATTTAAGGCCAAAATTGCTGAATTGGAAATAAATCTCCAAGTTAACTATGCTTTCATTTCAGCTACGTTAGTAAAAACCTTGAAATTCAATTTGAATTCACTTAGAATTTTCATAAATTCTCACTTTAGTGAACAACCCTGTCGCACATTTTTCACAATTCACAGCTTAATGTATAAATACCAAATGATATCGTTGTGGGAAGCAGCACACATTCACTGACAACTGTCTACTTGTTTAAATTAAAAAAACAAAACCAAGCACCAACCATTTTTCATAACCTCAAAGTGCACAACAAAATTTAAATACATCCTGGCTGTGTATTTTGATATACTCATAAACATTTTAGGGTTTTAAAAAAAATAAAATGAAAAAATCTATCTATTTGGATAGCTCTGTAAAAGCAAAGACTCAGTTGAGAATTCTTTCTTTCAATACTTTTCCAACCATAGAAAGAGTTTGTTCCCTAACAGTAGAAGGCTATCTCCCCATTTACCGTACACAAAATATCACACATCATGTATTCTACAATACAATACGTGTATGTAACCCAGTGGAATTCTTTCAGAATTACCAGAAAAAGAGAAACCTGACCACTAGAAATGAACTTCTCATCTTAAATAAACCAACATTTTGAACTTGGGATTTATTTGCAAACTTTGTCCGGTCATATGATGGTGTCACTTCTACAAATTCACTATAATAAAAGGAACTAATTACTATTTTGATGTGAGTGGTTACATACACAAAGAAGAAAATTACTCATACTTTGTCATCAGCCAGTAAATTATGGATGTCCTGTAAAGTCAGTTTAATGCTGCTATTATTATATGTAATCATTTTACAAAAACGCTGCTACTCACTCCCACTAGAATAACAATGACAAAGGCACTATAAATTCTTGTAGGCCACATTTCTCATGATGTTATGCCAGTTTAAATGTGCAGGTTTATTAAAAAATATTTATATGTGACTCGTGGTATAATGTGTGTATGTGAGTTTGTGTGTTATGGTTTGTAATGATGATGGTGTGTAGTGAGTATGTGACCAGGTAAATGTGTCTAGGTTTGTAGGTGAATGTTTGTTGTTGTGTGAGGATAGGTAAATGGGTGAATTGGTAGGGATGGGTGCCTCGGTGGGTGATGTGCAGCTATGGGTAGGTGATTTTATGTGTGAAAAAGTGGTGGCCGTGGGCATATAGGCTTGGGGTGTGTTACTGATGGAAATATCTGACTTTATAGGTGGCTAAATAGGGGTATGGTTAACTGAGTAGTGGTATGTGACTGGTGGCTCAGTGAACGGAAATAACGAAGTACATCATCACATTGCCAAAACAATTGAACTTAACTTCAATAGCTATTGTTAATGACACAAGCTTGAGACTTATTGTAAGGTTAACAGGCAAAATGAATTTACATGGGGGATAGATCTGACCTGCTAATTTGACCTCTTTTCTAGTGTGGTAAGAATAATAATAGCTGACGTGTGTGTCATTACCCTGCAGTTGTAATAATCTACATTGATGTGTTTGTATGCTTCTTAAAGGACCACTCTAGGCACCCACACCAGTTCAGCTTAATTAAGTGGTCTGGGTGCCAGGTCCAGCTAGGGTTACCCATTTTTTTATAAACATAGAGAAACTGCTATGTTTATAAATAGGTTAATCCAGCCTCTAAAGCCTCTAGTGGCTGTCTCATTGACAGCCGCTAGAGGCGTTTGCGTGCTTCTCACTGTGAAAATCACAGTGAGAAGACGCCAGCGTCCATAGGAAAGCATTGAGAATGCTTTCCTGTGAAACTGGCTGAATGCCCGCGTGGCTCCTGCCGTGCATCCGCATTCAGCCGAGGAGGAGGAGAGGAGACGGAGAAGAGGAGGAGAGCTCCCCGCCCGGCGCTGGAGAAAGTTAAGATTTTAACTGCTTCCTCTCCCCAGAGCCTGGCGGGAGGGGGACCCTGAGGGTGGGGGCACCCTCAGGACACTATAGTGCCAGGAAAACAAGTATGTTTTCCTGGCACTACAGTGGTTCTTTAAAAATACTCTAACATATTTTTTTATATATAGATTTCCTGGCCATATCCATGGCAGCACAACAATGGGTAGCTCCTCCCTATCCCTAATTAGACAGGAACTAATTAAAATAAATGTATAAGTACCACCCCCTATCCCCTCCTCCCTCAGTCTCTTTGTTCCTGTCCTAGTCCTATTCCTATAGGACATGTGCCTTTTCTTGGAACTATTATTTTTCTTTTATGGCTTACCTGGGGATTTGTTTCCCTGGCCCCTTGGGAGTTCAGCCTCTCTCCCTTGGTGTCACGGTTCTCACTGCGACATACAGACAGCCAGACGTGGTCGTCCCAGAAGTGCCCAGCAGGGGATTTGAACCAGGTGCTGCTATTTTGCCTCTGAGCCACCATACAGCTCAAGTAATAGCCAGAAGTCTATCTTGCCTTGTATCCAGCACTGGGGGCTGGACGTTATTCTGTGGCTGCTCCAACATTCTCAGCACACCTGCAGCTGATGGCCTCATTAGCCACGTATAAAACACTGCCTCTCCCAGAAGGCAGTGTCAGTTCCTTGACTCTGCTGTTTTGTGTTCTCCAGTTTACTCTTGACTCTTGACCCTGACGTCTTGCATCCTCTGACCTCTGCTTTCTTCTCGTTTATCCTGATTTCTGGGACCCACGGCGATTCTCCTGCTTTATCCGTTCCCGTACTGCGACTTGGAGAATTATCCTGCACAGCCCCCGTGCACCGACTCACAGGCCAGGTGAATTCTTACCTGACCACCTCGGCCTGTGTTTACTTGCAAGGGTGAGCATACATCTCTGCCTGCCGGACTCCCAACCCAGGTAAGCCCTGACACTTGAGAAGTCTCCAGGTGACTCCCTGGAGAAACCCCCTTTAGTGACCGGGGTCTGGTACTTGCAGTAACCCGAGGAGTAGTAAGTTGTTGCGCCTAATTCCCTCATGCTGCATTGACCCTAGGGTTATCAGTAGGCAGGTGAATATGGACCTGGACATGTGTACCTTTTTGGCCTGGAAGTCTCCCTTTTCCATCTTCCCTCTGCCGTTTCCGCTGTCCTCTTGGAGGGATTAGTCCCTGTTTTCTTTCATGTCACAGCTCGGCGTTCATTTTTCGAATGGATTCGCGAGTTGCCGTTAGGTTTTGTGCCCATTCGTGCACATGGGTTGTTTGCATATATTGTGTGAATGTTCGGTTTATTCCTACGAATGGGGTCTCTTGGCGTGCGTTCACGCACATGCTCTGTTCGTTGGTTCGCACAGGCTCTCTCGTGCGTGATGTCAGACGCTTACTTAAAGCGCCTTGGTTCAAACACTTGTGGGAATCGTTTTGGCGAATGCTGCATTGCTTTCCTCCTATCTCGTGCTTATTTCTCGTTTTGTCTGCATTTCATTCAGGTAAATGACTTTTTGTTTCTTAAAGTGGTATCCTTCAATTTGTTCTGAATTTCAATTTGAGATTCTTTCTTGACTTTTGGTTCTGCAGATGGATATGGAAGTTTCAAATTCCTCTAACTCCGGTTTGTTTAGGTACTGGTGTTTAAAAGAGTGCGATTCACTAATACACTCTTCCGTTTCTGTTTTCTACAGTTCTAGAGGTACTAGAACTTCAGGGTTGTCCAAAGAGAAGTCGCCCAAAAGGACACAATGTGAATCCTGCAATAACAGAGCCCTGGAGGGGAAATGCCTCTATTTCTTGCCTATATGCAGGCCCATCTCAAAGGCATTCCTCCATCCAACCTGCGCCTGACATAATGCAATATATTTCACAAGAAGTCGCTCTTGGGATTAAAGAAGCTGGGAAGCCCCGCAAGCGGCCATGGTGTTCGGAACCTTTGCAGTGTTCTCCAGATGTCTCTGATGTAGAGTGTATGGATATGGAACCCCTGAGAGACCTGGGTTCTTCTTCAGAGGGTGATGTGCTTCCAGCTCCAGATTTCCTGGAACCTGCAGAAGTTGACCACTTGATATCCAGGGTCTGCAGGACCCTCAGTTTGAAGGAATCTTCTAAGGAGAAACCTTCCACTTTCGATCGCCACTTCTCTGACCTCAGGAGAAGAGGGCGACTTTCCCATAAAAGACCTCATTAAGGAGGAGTGGTCCAGATCGAACAGAAAATCCTCTGCAAAAGGAAAATTTTCCCGACCCTATCCGTTTGAGAGCGCGGACACTGAAACGTGGGATTCCGCTCCCAAGGTCGATACGGCCGTGGTTAGATTGGCCAAACGTACCACTTTACCTGTTGATGATGCGGTTCCTTCAAAGACCCTATGGACAGAAAGATGGATTTCAGTCTTTCCAAAGAGTATTTTCCAAAGCGTACTTACATATCCCAGGATCAAGATGGAGTCCCT